CACACTTACGACCATTGCAGCATCCCCATGGTCATGTGATCAAAATTTGGATGTTTGGCAATTAGTTCATATTTAATAATAACAATGACAATGACAATGATGATGATGATGATAAAGTTGGAAGAACCTTGGAGGTCATCTAGTCCAACCCCCTGCTCAGGCAGGAAACCCTATACCATTTTGGACAAATGGCTGTCCAGTCTCTTCTTAAAAACTTCCAGTATTGGAGCATTCACTGCTTCTGGAGGCAGGTGGTTCCACTGGTTAATTGTTCTCACTGTCAGGAAGTTTCTCCTTAGTTCTAGGTTGCTTCTCTCCTTAATTAGTTTCCATCCATTGCTTCTTGTCCTGCCTTCAGGCGCTTTGGAAAATAGCTTGTAGAGGATAGTAGAGGATTATTTGCATTGTGAAGTATATAAAGGCCAGATGGTGAGGTTTATATATCAGATATCTTTTCCCTTTAAAAATGTTTTCTAAATAATAATAATAATAATAATAATAATTGCCAGCCAATTTGCCATCCTGATCTTTTTATTTCAACTTGTACATCAGCTGATTCCAGCAATAAATGTAGCTGATAAATTCATCATGCTTCCCCTCAGCTTCCTTTTCGATCAGGAAAAGATTTCCCACCCCCTTTTTTTTAGCAGTATTCTAAATAAATATTATGATGCTTACCCTAGTGGGGTCTGTTTTTTGTTTTTTGTTTTTTTAAAGGAGCCTAAACAATGCAATCAATTTGTTGCTGCCAGTTATGATCTTTACTTGAGCCCATTGTTCCTTCTTTTTAAAAATACTAGGAACTGGACAAACTAGCTTAGGACTTAGCAGCCAAATATTATGCTTCATTATCATGATAAATGATAGGGAAAAGACTTAATTATATACAGAATTTTGCTGCACTTAAGTGGGACTGGCAACCAAGTACATTTCTTGTCATATTAATCTGTCTGTCCATCAAGATTGTCTGCTGAGGCCTAATGTATATGTCCTTTGCGCTGACAGTAAAGATAAAGGTTTATGTCATGTCTGATTCTAGAGAATGGCGCTCAGCTGTTTCTTGGTTGAGGGAGCCGGCATTGTCCTAAAACAATTTCTGTGACCATGTCTAGCATGGCTATATGCCAAAGGAGCATGGAACGCTGTTACCTTCCCGTCAAGGTGGTACCTATTAATCTACTCACATTTGCATGCTTTCGAAATGCTGGGAGGAGCTGGAGCAAGTAACGCTGGCTGGCTGAGGAATTCTGGGAGTTGGAAGTCCACAAGTCATAAAAGGGCCAAGTTTGAAGACCCCTGATCTAGATTAATCCACACAATCTTCATGGCAAGATTTGTGCAAGTGGTTTGTCTTAGTTCTCCAGAAACAAGGCATCTTATTTCACTCTTAGAACTCCACAAAAGCTGCAGCTTTTTCGTGTGAACTTTGCTTCTCTATCTATCCTTGTCAAACTCGTTCTGGTTTTGGTCTCAATTCACATTTCTCCCAGCCAGCTACCTCAAATTGGACTGGGATAGCAGCCAAGCAAGTTGCTCCCTAGCCTGCAGTTTGTTTCATTTTGTACCAGAGACATGGCTCACCATGTCAGAGAAAGATGCTTATTGCCTCACCTCCTCCTAGAAGCCTTCAGAGCAAACCTTTTTTTTAAAAAAAATAGCCTTGAACCCTATTAGCTAATTCCCTTCAACCCCACCCCGGGTTCAGCAGAGAATGCCGACAGTTGGACTCAAAGAGGGATTTCAATTCTAGTAGTAAAAGAAAAGGTCTAGGATTTTTCCCATGGCTTTAATGTGATGGAAGCCTTTATTCTCCATCCCAACAACAGGTAGCAATAATCACAGGATCTACCTCTGGGCATGAAAGTTATTACTTAGCTATGGAGTTTGGATTCTATCCACAGGACGTGGCTACGGTTGCTCCCCTTGCCTTGATAATAAAGGACAATTGTTTATGCTCACCTGCTCTGTCGGGAGTTGATTATAAATAGAGATAACATAATAAGTAGTACAACCACATTGATTAGAATAACGAATAAATTTGGATTGGATCTCAGAAACTTAGCATCTTAGGCCCGAGGGGGCCTACTATGTGCCACTTTTTAAGAAGTCTTATTGGTTACTTTATAAACTGGTGGTCCTTATGACTATATTAAACAGAATATAATCCTTGTGATTTTGTTAATGGTTAATCTGTACCAAAAAAACCAGAATAATGTCATAACAGTAAAAAAAAGACTGGGATGAACTTTCTCCGCATCTGCCTAGGATTTCCAATGTATCAAACCATGATTGTCTTATAACAGTGTTGAAGGAAAAATCTTCATCGGGGTCCAGTCCAAGCCAGGAATAAACAACATGGAGACTGCTTTAGAAAGAAGGTTGTAGTTTATTGAAGAGGAGAGCCAGACAGAAAGATGGCTCTGGAAAAAGAAAGTGACCACATGTAGCAGGGAGTGGGTTTTTATACCTTCTGGGGCTCTTGAGGTTGTTTCCTGTTCCTGTTTGAGGCTTTGTATTTCCTGTGTCATGTATTTTGAGTGTGCCCTTTTGGTATTCTGATGGTGGTGGGTTAATCCTATTATGTTTCCTGTCCTTAGAATTTGGGTGGGGTACGTAGATTTTAAGGGTCTTTGTCTTCCTAATTTCTTCAGTTTCTTGTTGGAAGGCTCCAACCTTCCTGAATGGATTATTACATCTGCATTTCTAAAAGCTGGTTTCTACTGAGTTGTCTGGCTGGCTGGTGTGTTTGTGTGTATGTGTGTGTGTGTGTGTGTAAGTTTCTGCCTTTTTAAAGATCTTCTCCACTATTCCTTTTTAATATTCTCCACTATTCCTTTTTAATATTCCCCCAAATATTTCTTTCTCTGAATTCTTCCCATAACAGAAAGCTCTTGGAATATTTTCAGATGCACCTCCTCTCATTTCTATTAATACTCACTGAAAATAAGTGAAAAGTTATAAGGAATTGGGAATCATTTCTAAGTAAGGAGGGCAGGAGTAAATTACAAACATGTTTACAATGCATGATATCTGAGATCAGCCTAAACTAAGCTTTGTAGTGGGATGAGATTTGCAGCGATGGTGGTTCTTCTGCCATCAAAACACACAAGTAACCCAGCTTGTCCCGAGAGCAAGTTTTCCCAGCCCGTCCTCAATTTCAAAGTCGAACTACAGGTAGTCCTTGACTTACCTCCATTGAGCCCAAAATTTCTATTATTGAGACATTTGTTAAGTGAGTTTTGCCCCATTTTACGACCTTTCTTGCCACCGTTGTTAAGTGAATCACTGTAGTCGATAAGGTAAGTAACACCATTAAGTGAATCTGGCTTCCCCATTGACTTTGCTTGTCAGAAGGTCACAAAAGGGGATCACGGGGCCCCGGGACACTGCAACCGTCATAACTATGAGTCAAGTTGCCAAACGTCCTAATTTTGATCATGCAACCATGAGGATGCCACAAAGGTCGCAAGTGCAAAAAATGGTCGCAAAAGGGGATCACGGGGCCCTGGGACACTGCAACCATCATAACTATGAGTCAAGTTGCCAAACGTCCTAATTTTGATCATGCAACCATGAGGATGCCACAAAGGTCGCAAGTGCAAAAATGGTTACAAAAGGGGATCACAGGACCCCAGGACACTGCAACCGTCATAACTATGAGTCAAGTTGCCAAACGTCCTAATTTTGATCATGCAACCATGAGGATGCTACAAAGGTCGCAAGTGCAAAAAATGGTCGCAAAAGGGGATCACGGGGCCCTGGGACACTGCAACCGTCATAACTATGAGTCAAGTTGCCAAACGTCCTAATTTTGATCATGCAACCACGAGGAGGCCACAAAGGTCGCAAGTGCAAAAAATGGTCGCAAAAGGGGATCACGGGGCCCCGGGACACTGCAACCGTCATAACTATGAGTCAAGTTGCCAAACGTCCTAATTTTGATCATGCAACCATGAGGATGCCACAAAGGTCGCAAGTGCAAAAATGGTCGCAAAAGGGGATCACGGGACCCCGGGACACTGCAACCGTCATAACTATGAGTCAAGTTGCCAAACGTCCTAATTTTGATCATGCAACCATGAGGATGCCACAAAGGTCGCAAGTGCAAAAATGGTTGCAAAAGGGGATCACAGGACCCCGGGACACTGCAACCGTCATAACTATGAGTCAAGTTGCCAAACGTCCTAATTTTGATCATGCAACCACGAGGATGCCACAAAGGTCGCAAGTGCAAAAAATGGTCGCAAAAGGGGATCACGGGGCCCCGGGACACTGCAACCATCATAACTATGAGTCAAGTTGCCAAACGTCCTAATTTTGATCATGCAACCATGAGGATGCCACAAAGGTCGCAAGTGCAAAAATGGTCGCAAAAGGGGATCACGGGACCCCGGGACACTGCAACCGTCGTAACTATGAGTCAAGTTGCCAAACGTCCTAATTTTGATCATGCAACCACGAGGAGGCCACAAAGGTCGCAAGTGTGAAAAAGGGTCACAAGTCACTTTTCTTCAATGCCGTTGGAACTTTGAACGGTCACTAAAGAGAACCGTTGTAAGTCGAGGACTGCCTGTAGGCAGTGCCTGCAATAAACCTCCAAATGATTCTCTTCGGGGACAAAAGGCCATTCGCGCCTATCCCGATGGCTGCTGCCGGTTCTTTCAGAAAGGACAACATCTTACACACACAACACACACACACACACACACACACAAAAGCCGGGGCAAAGCTCTCTCGCCGACCCCGAGCGCCGTCTCCATCCGAGCGGCCACGGCGCGCCGCCTCGCCAGCCACGGAGGCCGCCCTGGCGGAGGTTTCCAGGGAGAAACGCTCCTCCTCCCGACGCCGATTGTCCGGCCGACGAGCGACCGGCCTCCGTCCCTCCCTCCCCGGGGAGCAGCCAGGCCCGCGGCCGGATCTACGTGTCGGTTCCCTCCGCCGCGCGGGGCCGCAGCTGAGGCGGGCCCGGCGGCCGCCAACCGACGAGGCGGAGGCGGGAGCGGCGAGGCTGCGCTTCCCCGCCCGGCCGTGTAGGGGGGGCCCGTCCGCCTCGGGAAGCCAGCGGGCGGCCTGGGCCTGAGGAGTCGGAGACGCCGCCCGAAAGAGACCGGCGGCGGCGGCGGCAGCGGCTTTGGGCGCCATGGAGGACATCAACTCCAACGTGAACGCCGACGCCGAAGTGCGGAAGCTGCAGGAGCTGGTGAAGAAGCTGGAGAAGCAGAACGAGCAGCTCCGCATCCGCAGCGCGGCCGGGGCGCCCGGCGGCAGCCCCAAGCGGCTGCTCAGCGGAGGAGGAGGAGGGTCGGGCGCCTGCACGCCGCCGCCGCCGCCGCTCCTTACGCCGCCCGCCGGCCACCTCTCGCCGTCCTCCTCCTCCTCGCCCTCGGCCCTGGGGCTGGAGAGCCGCGGCCTGAGCTCCAAGGCCGGGCCGCGGCGGCCTCCGTCGGGCGACGAGCGGGGCGCGGAGGCGGCTCGGGGGAGCGTCGAGAAGAGCGGCCTGCTGGACGAGGTGGAGCCGCTGAGGCCCGACGAGCTGGAGCGGCTGGCCGGCTGCGAAGAGGACGAGACGGGCTGGTGAGGAGCGCGGAAAGGGTGGCTGGGCCGACGTGGCTGGGGCGTTGCGCTCCGGGGAGGGAGGCCACACCTGAACCGGGAAGGAAGGAAGGAAAAAAGGAAGAGAGGAAAGGAAGAAGGAAGGAAGGAAAAAGGGAGAAAGGAAGGAAGGAAGGAAGGAAAGGAAGAAGGAAGGAAAAAAGGGAGAGAGGAAAGCAAGAAGGAAGGAAGGGAAAAGGGAGAAAGAAAGGAAGGAAGGAAAAAAGGGAGGGAGGAAGGAAAAAAGGGAGAGAGGAAAGGAAAGGAAGAACGAAGGAAAAAAGAGAGAGGAAAGGAAGAAGGAAGGAAGGAAAAGGAGAAAGGAAGGAAGGAAAAAAGGGAGAGAGGAAAAAAGGGAGAGAGGAAAGAAAGAAGGAGGAAGGAAGGAAGGAAGGAAGGAAGGAAGGAAGGAAGGAAGGAAGGAAGGAAAAAGGGAAAGAAGGAAGGAAAAAGAGGAAGGAAGGAAAAAAGGAATGAAGGGAGGGAGGGAGAAGAGGGAGGAAAAAGAGGAAAGGGAGGAAAGAAGGAAAAAAGGAAGGAAGGAAAAAGAATGAAGGGAGGGAGGAAGGAAGAAGGGGAGGAAGAAAGGGCTAACTCTATCCCTGCCTCGAGCAAAGATCCCCAAAGCTGGAGATCTCCCTGCAGGGTCTTCCATAGGGAGTCTCCCAGCAGCCTTTCCATTCTTTGCACAGATGTTTAAGGAGAGCTGGAAAGGTGGTTTGGGAATCTCCCTTGCTGGGCCTGGACACACTTTTGTTAACTGGGAAAAGATACAACCGGGTTGGGTGGTGCCTTGAATCCACCCTATTTTTACACTGGGGTCTGGAGTGGACGGGTTGTGCCTCTCCACATTGAAATATCTCATAAATATGAGTGATGGTAAATTTAAGGCCAGTTTTTAGAACTGGCAAGCTATTATGATCTAACTCTGGTTAGACAACTGGTTGGGTTGGGCTGAATGAGATCAGTGTTTTATCAGTTCTGGGAGTTGAACTCTTATTGTCTTAAAATTGCCAATTTTGACACCCCCTCAAAAAAAATTGAATTAGATCATAGTGATCTTGAGTGCCTTTTTCTCTCAGCCTTAAAGTTGCTAGGTTTTTTTATTGAAAAGTTTTATAAAAGTTACAATATACACCCCAAAACCCACCCACCCTAAGCCCCCCTCTCCCTCCCCCACTTCCCAGAGCTGAGTACAGGGTAACAAATATAATAATCATACTCTAACATTAACCAACTATGTAAATAACCAAGTCCATAATGCGCTTTAACTCCCCTTTAACATAAAAATAAACAAATTAAAAATAAACATAATAATATAAACAAGTTAATATCCTAATTCTTGAACAATACAATATCCAAATTGTTAAACAATATTAATACTAAAAATAATAATAAAACTAATAAAAATTCCACTATAGTAAAGTTGCGGGTTTATACGGGAAGTCATTAGATTTGAATCCTATCTCTTGAAAAGTTGTTATTCTTCGGGGGGGGGGGAGGTAATGTTGCATTATAGAAAAATACTTGAAAGGAATATGGAATGTGCCATAAAGTTCTGGAAAATACATCAAGCAAGAAAAGCCAATAGTCAATAAGGTTTCTTGAACTCTCTCCTAATATTCTTTAACCTTATATTTATTTGTATTTCACTTTACATACACAGTCACACACACATAAACAATAGGGTACATTTCAATTATTCTCAGAATGGTGATTCAGGGTGGATGTGTTTATTAGCACCGAAATTAGATAATAGAATAAGAGATGATATATTAAGGATGCATGATGTCATTTGATTGTGATAGCTTATGAACAAATTGAGACTTTTTCACTTAAAATTAGGATATGGAGCGATTTCCTCCGTTTATAAGTATTGCTTGTATTGTACTGTATTGTAAATGCTTCCCCCCTCCCCCAGTGTATTATATTTGCTTCATTCTTGACAGACAGAACCCAAGTACATTTAAGTAATTAAAATATATATATTCAGGCATATATTTAGAAGTACAGGAGCTGCTCTTCTATCTATCTGCAGTGTGATTCATTTGGCTAATCTTATAATTGTGAACTGAACACAGATAAACTTGTTTTAAATTTATTTTTCTTTGATGGTACAATCATGTATGTATTTAACTCAGTATTAATTCTCAAATAAGTGGAATAAAATTTCCGAGTAGAAATGTTATTCTGAAGTCATTAGCTGCTGGTTGGTTAGTTTAATTCTTTTCCACATGTTTAATTCATTTCACTTTTCTGTGTTCATTCTCTTCTCTGAAGTACAGCAAAACTTTACAAAAAGTGTTATTTTTCCCTCCAGAGCCTGACATTTTGCTATTGAGCTATTTACACTCTCCTGTAGATAAATTCCAGTGTTCTGATAATGGAAAAAGCATTTGATAAACTATTTTCCAAAGTGCATTATTTCCTTATTGAAGGACTTTTCATGACTTCATGCTTGCATCAGTGAAGATATTTTGGCAATAATATGGATGTGGTGTGCTGATTTATTGTTTCATAGTCTAGCCCAGGGGTAGGCAACCTTGGCTCTTTTATGACTCGTGGACTTCAACTCCCAGAATTCCTGAACTAGCGTGGCTCAGGTTGGAAACCTCTCCCTTTTCCATCAGTGTGACTGGCTCAGGAATTCTGGGAGTTGAAGTCCACGAGTCATAAAAGAGCCAAGGTTGCCTACCCCTGGTCTAGCTGACAGCTGGTATTCCCTATTGCCACGCTACTCAAAGTATGGTCCAGTGCTGGTCCATGAAACATTTGTTACTGGTCTATCATAAGTATAGAGTAAGCATTTAGGAACTTTTATAGCAGTTTACATTGCTTGACATACAAGTGCAAGATCTATGGATTGGTCTTACGGTTGCATAGACCGGTTTCGGTTGTTATCACATCTGGTGCAAGTTGGTCATACAAAGTACCACCACATTACAATGTGTGACATTTTAAAGTTAGTCTGTCGTCTGTAACCCATCCAAAAATCTGAGAAATGTTAAGCGTGAGTCTGGAAATGATTCTGAAGAAATGGACACACACAAGAATCCATACTAGCTTTATTGAGAAGTGATACATAATCCCCTGTGAATAGCGTTGTTGTCAATCCAACCTAAATTAGACAAATTAACAAACAAGGTTATTTAGCACAACTAAAAACTTTAAATTTTGATGTATACTGTGTTCATTTAAACTAAGTATGCATCAAGCTAAAGATTTCCCTGTCCAGTCATGTCCGACTCTAGGGGGCGGTGCTCAGCGTTGTCCGAAGATGTTTCCACAATTATATGGCCAGCATGACATAATGCCGCAATGCAGAGCATGCAGTGAAACACGGAACGCTATTAACTTCCCACCAAAGTGGTACCTGTTTATCTACTTGCATTTACATGCTTTTGAACTGCTAGGTGGGCAAGGAGCTGTGGAGCAAGGAACAGGAGCTCAATCCATCATGTGGAGCTTGGGACTCAAACCTGAGCTGTTAGCTTTCCAGCTGAGAAGCTCAAATTCTTAACCGCTGAGCCATTGCGTCCCCGTAAAGTGTGCATATAGGTCAGTGATGGCGAACCTTTTAGAGACTGAGTGCCCAAAAACTAGCCCCGCCCCTGCCCCGCCCCCACCCCACCTACCCGCAGGGCCACTCATCACCTCCAAGGCCCGCCACAGATCCCCCAGGCAGCCCACCAATGCCATGGTGGCCACGCCCTCTGCCTGCGCCCCGCAGTATCAACTGTGCGCGATGGGGCGTGAGGGCAGAGTCTTGTCTACACTGCCTGGCTGCCATGTCCTTGGCTGCGCTGCTCCACATGGGCCACGCTTGGAGGCCGACTCTCCTCCAGGGGGGGCTGCTGGTGAGGAGAGGCGTGGGGGAAGGCAAGGCTGGGGCAACAGCACGTGTGCCCACAGAGAGGGCTCCGAGTGCCACCTCTGGCACCCGTGCCATAGGTTCGCCACCATTGATATAGGTGTTAAATAGGGGGAATTGATATTTCATTCATAACTAGTTACAATTGTAGAATGACAAAAAGTTACAAATATAACACAGAATAGAGAATAGCAATTCTACAGGGTTTATGCATACACTTTCAGTGAACAATGTATACAGTTTTTGTCATTCTTTTTCCTATGTGAGTTTTTTTCTTATTGAAATGTATAAGCGTTGCCTTGGCGGTAGACTCTTTGGAATGGGATGACTGATTTTGTGCCTTTTATTTTTCTAACATAAGATCCAATGGAAAACATTTTTATTAACTGAGACTTTAAAGATATTTTTTAAAACTTAACAAGTCTGATTGTTAATTACTGTACCTGCCCATTCTTTGGATGGTGATTATGTTTCACAAACGATCTGAAAACACTAGACTGAAGCTTTAGTGTCAAGACTTAAAATGTTTAAAGTGTTAAAATACTTTGTGTAATATTTTATCTTGTAGTTTATTCTTCCAGCAGTTTTGAATTCAAGTCAAATTATTTGGGTTTTCAGTATATTGTGTAAGCTTGATTTTAGACTTATATTGTTCGACTTTAATTTTGTTTTCCCATCCCCTTTTTCATAATGTTTATCTTTCAGCTCCCATGCCTCTTTAGCAAAGCAAAACTATCCTGTATGTTGGAAGATTCCCCCCCCCCCAAAAAAAAACACAAATTGGGCAAAAGCTCTTTCTTAGTAAACTTTCCTACCATCCCACTCCAATTTCCTAAACCATATTCCATATCATTTCTGAGTGTTTGTTTATGCACAGAAAAAGCTGGTAGATATGTTAAGAGGCTGTTTTGTTGTAGGAACTGTTCTCACAGTTCCCATGCTTTATAGTGAATTAATAAAATCTGATTTTGCATACTAAAATTAATATTCATCTGATTTTTTTCTGGAGAGCAGGCAATCTGCCCATCAATAAATTACACTGCCTTAGTGCTGGACTCTAGGTGACTACAACGTGCATCATACAGCCAACAATAATTAAACAATATAAAATATAAACTTTGTAGTATGATAATAAAACGGAAAGTTACGCAAGGGTTCCAGAATCAATTTCAAAAAAGCTGGATCTTTTTGCTTCTGAAGAGAATGTCTTTGAATGTAGAATATAGGCATTCTCTGACTATCTTGGTTAGATGGGCACATTTGATCAGGGAAGGGGCAGTCTCTCTTAATTTTCCAGCATGCTGAGAAAAAAATGCACTTAAAAAAAAACTGCCTTGACTTGTCTTTTTTTGTTAAAAGAACAATATACTGAAGTTCTAATCTGACCGTACAGTATATCCCTATGTAATGTTCGTGTGTTTTAATTTCCACTAGGTTGTATATGTCACCAAAGAAAAAAGTGACCCCAGTGCAAAAATCAGTGAGTCCACTTGTTTGGTGCAGGCAAATACTGGATTATCCAACTCCAGACATTGAATGTGCGAAAAAGTCATTGATCCATAGGCTTGAACAAACCATGTCAGGTGAGCTTCTGAAAAAAAAAAAAATTATGCTAACTTGTTTTGAACAGGGTGTATGTTAGTATACTTTTTTTAAAAAAAAAATAGTTACGTTCCAGTGAAAGTTAGCCTGTTTTAAATCCAATTCATGTTAATAGGAAGGTTATTATATGCTTTTTTGTATTAAAAATTCATGGGACACAAGTGTCCAGATATGTTGTAGTTATTGTCTAATAAGTACATCAGCCTGGCAGTCTTGTACAGTTATCATTTTATTTTAAATGAATTGGTATCTGGGGAAATGGCATGTAAAATAATAATCTGCAATATTTTTTTTGCAAAAAAAAAAAAATTGGGGGGGGACATTAAATAACTGAAATAAGTAGAGAAGATGAGATGACCATTTCCTGGATGGTTACATTATCAAAATTGAATATTAGCGATTGCCAAATTAAATTTAAAAATCAAAAATTAACGGGATTGTACTGTAGAGAGTTTGTGTTATTAACAAGGTGAAGAAATGCATTAAAATATCTCTAAATTGGATGATAGTTCCCATTTAACAATTATTTTTGACCATATCCAATGTTACTATTTCTTTAAGATATGACAACAAAATGTCTACATTAGTCATATATTAGATTGCAAGATGGGTGCTATATAATTTCAACAAACAAACAGCATTCTCAGTTGGAATGCTGAGGGGAAAGGGAGGGTTTCCAAGCTGAGCCATGCTGGCTCAGGAATTCTGGGAGTTGAAGTCCACGAGTCATAAAAGAGCCAAGGTTGCCTACCCCTGCTCTAATGGATTTACGGATTTCCAGTTTAAAAAAAAAAATGTTGAAAAAGATCATCACACCTTAAGATCTTGGATGTTATTGCCTTAGATGTTGCTTGATTACAGGGGAGAACAAGGCGTGCCAAATCTCCCACAATATTTTTATGGGTAATTTAGCCTGAAAAATGCACTGCTCCCTGTCTCCTGTTTTGTTAATTCAACCAGTACTAAAATTGAACCTAATTTTTCAATAAGCAAAACTGAAATGACTTAAACATAAAGTAATAAAAACAATAACTTAAGTAATTTGACTGTAGTATTTACCATGGGAAAATAGTAATTAAAAGTTGAAAATTATTTACTTAACTTGGTACCCACATACTGTACCTCATAACATAGTATAAAACAGGGGTGTCAAACGGCCGGCCCGCGAGCTAGACGTGTCACCAGGAAACTGTGCCTACCCCATTGCCAGCAATGGGAAAAAAGCTCCGATATGTCGCGCGACGTCACGTGGCGAATTTGACATGTCTGGTATAAGAAATAAAAATCAGAAATGCAATTTTAAGTGCTGTGAAACAGTATATGGATTTTCTTTTCTGTTTTTTCATACAGCTCTCAAGAGACACAGCCTATATAGTAATCCATTCAACACTGTCAATTACACAAACTCCTATAGCCACAGTGCTGGCAGTCCCTACAGCACTGGCTTCAGTTCTCCTTCCCCTACACCAGTGAAAGGTCCTTTAATAAAACAGCTTATATATCCTAACAACTCAGGTAAGAGTCTCAGATCTAAGTTGCAAGTGATAACCAAGAAAAACTTGGTTTAATGACTTCTTTTATTTCAGATGTTTGGATCTATCTCTGCTTATACAGCTTATGCAGATAAAGCACTGTATTAGCAATTTTTAATGATGTCTGAATAATTTTGAGCTGTAATCCTTATATTGCTTGTATTGCTGTACATTTCCTTCCTTCCTTCCTTCCTTCCTTCCTTCCTTCCTTCCAGAATATGCCCAAATCCTGGTCAAGGTAGACTACTATATTTACAAATGTGTTAACGTTCTTTTTTACATTGATTCTATTTGGCATTTATAAATTCATCTTTTGTAAGTGGAGGTACTATTTTGAGTGCCCGAATGATTTTTCCTTAATAGCAAAAAATTAAAATTAACGTTCAGTTATTATGAAAGTGATAAATGAAGAATTGCAGAAGTTTAAACAATAAAGACTTGTTTCAACTTTCCTTTAAAGCAGCGGTTCTCAACCTATGGGTCGCGACCCCATTTGGGGTCGATCGACCATTTTTCGGGGGTCGCCAAAGGCGGCGATCCGCCATTTTCTCCCCTCCGGGGGCGCCGCTGCGCATGAGCGCCGCTGCGCATGAGCGCCGCTGCGCATGGGGGCGCGCCACGCATGTGCGCCGCACATGGGGGCGGCGCCATGCCTCCGGGGGCGCCGTGCATGGGGGCGGTGCACATGTGCACCGTGCATGGGGGCGCCGCCGCGCATGCACATAACGTTTGTGTGACGGGGTCGCCGTCACACAAACGTTGAGAACCGCTGCTTTAAAGCACTTTTAAGAATTTCAATATTTGCCCCAGTTAGCACTGTTCCTTTAGAAGTTCACCTAAGTCCTGCACATTGTAGATTGATCGGTACCTAACTTGAAGAAAAACCGAGTTTATTTTTCAACATATTTGAGTTCTTAGAAGTTTTTTCTTTCTGCCCTCAGTGTTCTATAAATCATGCTGATTTATAGGGATGATAGAGATGTCTTTATTTATTAGTTTGTTTTTCTTTTCTTACAGGTCATTTCAAAAGTTCAGATCGAAATCCTCCACTCAGCCCACAGTCCTCTATAGACAGTGAATTGAGTGCTTCAGAAATGGATGAAGACTCAATAGGATCTAATTACAAACTAAACGACTTAACTGATGTGCAAATTTTAGCTCGGATGCAAGAAGAAAGTAAGTTGTTTTCATATCATAAAAGCAAAAATGTGAGTTTTTCCTGTTACATTTAGCAGATTTGCTTTTGTCGATAAACTTCAGAGATTCAACATGAAGGCCATGTTAGGAAACAAAGGGGTTTGCGAAGCATATAGGCCAAGAGAAGTGGAAAACAATAGTAGGAAAAACTAAGAGGTGAAAGTAAAAATAGAGAAATGATCCATCCATTTATGTTTCCACATAGCAACTCTTTCTAGATACAACTTTAAATACCGTATTTTCTGGCGTATAAGACGACTTTCTAAAGCGTTGAAATCGGCACTGAAGTCAGGGGTCAACTTATACGCCGAGTCGTCTTATACGCTGGAAATTACAGTAGTTTCCGGCGTATAAGATGACTTTCTAGGCATGGAAATCGGCGCCGAAGTCAGGGGTTGTCTTATACGCCGAGTCGCCTTATACGCCAGAAAATACGGTAATTGCTATTGTACTGTGGTAATAAGCTGGTAGCGAAGTGGGAACATTTTGGAAATTTGACAAATTTCCTGGCTTCTAATCACCCCAAAGAGTGTTGGAAACTCAGATGACATGCTTGTTGTAGCTGAAGAGATGATCTGGGTTTGAATAGACCAGTGTTTCTCAACCTTGACAATTTTAAGGCATGTGGACTTCAACTCCCAGAATTCCACAGCCAGCAATGCTGGCTGTGGAATTCTGGGAGTTTGAAGTCCACATGCCTTAAAATTGTTAAGGTTGAGAAACACTGGAATAGACAGTTCTTAAAGCACCACCTCCATCTTCCAGGACATTTGCCAAGAAGGATGGAGAAGTCTATATATGAGCTACCGTTGCATTATTATCTTTCTGTAGCAGACTGGGAATTAATCAGAGTTAATACTGTAATCTGTATGTTCCTTGGTTACGGTCCTCTTAGAGAGCTGCTTTGGGGACAGCATTACCAGGCAAAATTTCAATTCGGATTTACAGTACAATTTTCCCTCAGTGATTGCCATCAAGGCAACCTAATTGAAGCTAGTTTTATAAAAGGTTGTGACTTTGTGTTTGCTGCACTGAGTAACTTATCCAGAATAAAACAAGGGACTTGTAAGAATATTTCCATTAATTTTTTTTTCTTAATGTGAACTTCACTAAAAAAAAAAAAAACTTAAGTCTTCATTATGTTTGCTGGATAAAATGTAGAGCTGTAGATTGGCTGGAGAAAAATATACCAGTTATAATATCAATTACTTGTAATTACGGGTGTCATCCAACCTAAACTAAAGCCAAAGCAAAGAGGGATAGCAATTGGACCAATCCTGCAAGATGTCAGGAAAATGTCCCCTCTGCCACACCCATTGAAAAAAGTAAAATGTGACATGTTCAAGTTAGGATTTGTATACTGCACGAGCCAGAAAGAGGGCTGAGAAAATATCTGCAGACCCCCTCACATCCTGGACACAATCTATTTCAGGGGTCCTCAAACTTGGCCACTTGAAGACTTGTGGACTTCAACTCCCAGAACTGGCTGAGGAATTCTGGGAGTTGAAGTCCACAAGTCTTCAAGTGGCCAAGTTTGAGGACCCCTGATCTGTTTCAGCTTTTCCCCTCAGAACGCTGCTATAGAGCATTGCATGCCCAAATAGCTAGACATAAAGATAGTTTTTTCCCCCGTGTCATCACTCTGCTGAACCCTTAATTCCCACAGCACTGACTCATCTCCTCAACTTTCCTACCATCTTCTCCTATTGGTTTCTTATGCTTTATCAGTTGTTGTTTGTAACTTACGATTAATGATTGTAATTATGATTTATGACCTACCACCTATTACTTGCTGTTTATATGTACATTTTGAATTTATGCACCAGAGACAAATTCCTTGTGCGTCCAATCACGCTTGGCCAATAAAGAACTCTGTTCTATCCTGTTTACATTTTGTCAGTAGATATTTCCCAGCTTTTCTTTGTGTCTATTTATTACATTTCTGTTTAGCTCAGAGATCCCATCATACAACTTCTCCACAGAATTAATCTTTCAGTATACAGTAGCCTACAGTTAATATTGCCAAGATGATACTGGATTGAGATGTTGTAAGCACAACAATCAAGCTAGTGTGTTGTTTTCTGGCTGAATAACATGGAGGCAGATTGTAGCCATTTGGGGTTGCGTGTCATTAAGATCTGAATAATGCCTCGCTTTGTCTGTCCATCTGCTGCTGTGGAAGCTGCGAAACATTTGATTTCTGAGTTTATTAAGAGCCGGCCTAATAAAGTGTGGTTAAATATTGATACGAAAAATGTAGTATTGATTAAAATGCTAAATTTGGAACCGATGTCAAATCCACATTGCTAGTCCATGCTTATTATTTGCTTTCATATCTAGTCTAAATCCTGGATGCTAAGGTGATATCCAGATCTAAAATAGCTGGTGCATAACTTAACTTTGGTTCATTCTAGCTCAGTGATGGCGAACCTTTTAGGGACCGAGTGTCCAAAAACAGGCCCCGCCCCACCCTACCCACTCCGTCCCCACCTCGCCCCCATCCCGCCCCTGGCCCCGCCTGCCCGCAAGGCCACCCACCACCTCCACAGCCTGCTACAGATCGCCCAGGTGGCCCAGCAGCACCATGGCAGCCACACCCTCTGCCTGCGCACAGAATCAACTGCGCACGACAAGGCATGAGACCGGAGTCTTGTCCCCACTTCCCGGCTGCCATGTTCTTGACTGTGCTGCTCCACGTGGGCTGTGCTTGAGGGCGACTCTCCTCTGGGGGGGGGCTGCTGGTGAGGTGGGGGCCATGGGGGGAGGCAGGGCTGGGGCAACGGTGCGCATACCCACAGAGAGGGCTCCGAGTGCCGCCTCTGGCACACATGCCAGAGGTTCGCCACCACTAGATAATCCATGCTTCATTTGGCCATTGCTTCAGAGATATTTCCTTACCAATGCCGTCAGCCATGACAGCTAAGGTACTGCATGTCATGGTTCCAAGACAGAGACGAATAAAGCAGAACTCCGAGGCTTGCAAATTCCTCAAAGAACTTGTTTATTAGTTACAAAGTATCAGCACATCAAAAATGAAACCAGATCTGGAGACACACGTAACAATTCCCCAATTACAAAGTTTAAAAAAATCTCACCCCTAAAGCTAGGCAAGCAACTACATTCCCCGATACATCTCCTTGGCGGGCTTTTTAACGCAACGCCCAGCCTGCAGTCTCGGGAGCAGCCAATGACCTTGGTTCCCACCGGACAAAAGATTATTTTGACTAGCGAAGCACCTGGGCAACCACCACCCCCTCCCTCCGTTCTGTGCGGCAACCGAAAATGAGTAGGAAAAATGGTTGCAGCCATGCTCATATGTGGAGTTGACAGTGCCTTTACTGGAAAAGTTGGGATATCCAGTGGTGTTTCTGCCTTGAAAACAGCCCACGTTGAAAGATATAGCAGTCAAAGGTCAGCATAGGAATTGTTTTACGGCATTTTTATACAGCCAAGTGTTCCTTGTCTGCACTAATCTAAAAAGGGGATTGTACTTCAGGCCATGTTCTTTCTGTTCGTTAGGTCTTCGGCAAGAATATGCAGCAACTACTTCTCGGCGTAGTTCTGGTTCTTCGTGTAGCTCTGCGCGGCGTGGAACGTTTAGCGACCAGGAACTTGATGCCCAGAGCTTAGAAGACGAAGAAGACAGCTGCCACCATGCAGCCCACCCACCTATGAATAGGTTCTCTCCGTCACCCCGCAATTCACCCCGACCTTCACCAAAACAGTCCCCAAGGAATTCTCCCCGGTCGCGATCCCCTGCTAGAGGAATTGAGTACAGCAGAGTGTCACCTCAGCCCATGCTTAGCCGCCTGCAGCAGCCTCGCCTTTCACTTCAAGGACATCCACCTGATTTACAAACCACCTCTGTAAAAAATGAAGGTAAAAGAGTCTTGTCTTCAGTTTTAGGTATGGAATGTTCCAATAGCGGTCATGGTGTGCCCCCAGTGGTATGGCAGCATTTGAAACGCTGGTTGCGAAATCAGCAGCCCTGTCAATCAGGGGGCCCCAACCCCCGGTCCGTGGATCGGTACCGGGCTGCGGCGTGCCAGCAACCGGTCTGCGCAAACAAGCAAAGTCCCATCCGAGGGATGCAGGCAGCACACAAAACCACGCCCCCTCCGGTCCGCGGAAAAACCTCTCTCCATGGAACCGGTCCCTGGTGCCCAAAAGGTTGGGGACCTCTGCTGTAAATCATTGAAATAATTTTTTTAAAAAATGTGCCGTGGATTTGGCATTATAGTCAAAGACACTTTTTCTAAGATCCATCATATACATGTTGTACTGGAAGGAAAAAATACTGTCTCCAGAAACTAGGTTGTTTTTTTTTTTCAAAGTTCAAAGTAGAAAAATACTGTTAGAGAGTGAGCTACAGGTGAAACTCGAAAAATTAGAATATCGTGCAAAAATTCGTTTATTTCAGTAATGCAACTTAAAAGGTGAAACTAATATATGAGATAGACTCATTACATGTAAAGCAAGAAAGTTCAAGCCGTGATGTGTCATAATTGTGATGATTACGGCTTACAGCTCATGAAAACCCCAAATCCACAATCTCAGAAAATTAGAATATTGTGTAAAGGTTCAATATTCTAGGCTCAAAGTGTCCCGCTCTAATCAGCTAATTAAGCCATAACACCTGTAAAGGGTTCCTGTGCTTGATTGGCCAGCAAACTCGCCTGACCTGAACCCCATAGTGAATCTATGGGGCATTGTCAAGAGAAAGATGAGAGACATGAGACCGAACAATGCAGAAGAGCTAAAGGACGCTATTGAAGCATCCTGGTCTTCCATAACACCTCAGCAGTGCCACAGGCTGATAGCTTCCGTGCCACGTCGCATTGAGGCAGTAATTGCTGCAAAAGGGGCCCAAACCAAGTACTGAGTACATATGCATGCTTATACTTTTCAGAGGTCCGATATTGTTCTATGTACAATCCTTGTTTTATTGATTTCATGTAATATTCTAATTTTCTGAGATTGTGGATATGGGGTTTTCATGAGCTGTAAGCCATAATCATCACAATTATGACACATCACGGCTTGAACTATCTTGCTTTGCATGCAATGAGTCTATCTCATATATTAGTTTCACCTTTTAAGTTGCATTACTAAAATAAATGAACTTTGGCACGATATTCTAATTTTTCAAGTTTCATCTGTATATACCGTATTTTTCGGCGTATAAGACGACCCCTGACTTCAGCGCCGAGTTGCATGCCTAGAAAGTCATCTTATACGCCAGAAACTACCGTAATTTCTGGCGTATAAAACGACTCGGCGTATAAGACGACCCCCGACTTCGGCGCCAATTTGAATGCTTTAGAAAGTCGTCTTATACGCCGGAAAATACGGTATATTTCCTAATAATCTCATTACAGTACAGAAGAAAAATAATTAGGATGTTTCTTCTTTTATCATTTTCCTTTAAAAGTTAGTATCTTTTTAATGGAATTCAATGAGATATGTAAAAGCACGTGTAGTAAACAATTTTTTTTGCTAAGAGACCACAAACAGAAAGACTCAACGTGGTTATTTTACTGTTGTTGTTGGATGTTCCTGCTGCTCCCCAGTTCTGTTACTGTAGATCTCTTAAGGCATGTTGCATTGCTAACTCTACTTTGTGAAAGGGACCTATCAGACTGTACATCGTATAGCACTGTTCAAAAACGATTGCATTCAAATTTTTCATCTTCCTGTTTGCTCCCTTTCATTGCTTGCTTTAAAGCTTTCTTTCAGTTCTGCATATCCTCTGCAACAAGTGAAATTCCAGCTAATTGTTTTGTTGGCAAGCTGAAAGTTAGTTACCAGCTAGATTTAAGACCTGAGGAAGAATTCTACCATCCTCATCAACCAAACAGTTATTTGCATTTTGAAAATGTAACTCTTTGACTGGCAAATTACGAACCTCAAGTTCTACGATCAATTTGAACTCAGTTATTCTAAGTACTACAATTCCTGCTCCCTCAGTTAACAGGAGACTGATCAAAAAGAGCAACACAGAAAGTCTGGAACATATATTTTTCTAAGCAGATCCTAGCATTTCAAACATTTGAATAGATGATAAATGTAAATCAACTGAAACAATGCATGGCTTGTGCCTAAAACAGGACGATTTCCAAAAAAAAATGTAGTGAAAAATTCTTCTAGAGCAGTGGTTCTCAACCTTTTTAATGCCACGACCCCCAACCGGTCGTAAGTCGAGGACTATTCAACTGGTCGTAAGTCGAGGACTACTCAAGTGGTGCAGCACCGTTTGCAGAATGGGACTTTTGGCGGGCTCAGCAGGGCAGAGACAGCCTGGACAATTCCTATTGGCTCTTGAAAGCCAATAGAATTAGACTCTATTCAAGAGAGTCTATTCTATTGGCTTTCAAAAGCCAATAGAATAAAAGGGAGTAGCACAGCGAAGGAAAAGGGGGAAAAAATGGCGGACTGCATTGTTTGGTGACCCCCATGAAATGGTTGTTCGACCCCAAATGGGGTCCCGACCCACAGGTTGAGAACCACTGTTCTAGAGTCCAATAATTTATAGTTCCCAGAGGAAGCGGGTATGCCTATTTGTCTGAAATACGGAGGGCGATATCTTGTACACTTACTCTTTGGTGTCTTGCACCTACCCTTTTCACATACCTACAAGTGGTGTGGAAAATGCTCTAGTCTGTGTTTTGTATTGACAGGCTTGTTCATCCCTTGGCGCTGCACTCTGTGTTTCTCCTATGCTCTCTGCCACTAACTCTTAAATAGGATTTAATCTCAATGGAAAAACTATACTGGGTGGGTGGAAATGGAAACCATAAGCTAGATAGGGACTTGGAAAGGTGAGTAACAGCAATGATGTCACTTAGTTGGAAAGGCAAGTAATGGCACACCTGTTCCGCAAAGCATGCGATCAGCACCACTTGCGTATGCAGTATTTTATGGTTCTTGATAGTCTTGCTGTTGCAAAAGTAATACTGTGGCTGAAAACCTAAACTATCCTTTCTTTTAAATTATGTTGGCGTACCTCATGTTTCCCTGCATGCATGCACATCCTTGCGCCGTGAGTGAGCAGCTGGTTGAAAGGAAAGGAGAGTTTCCGTTAGAAGTAGTTTGCAAAATTCTTAAAAAGGGTCAGGAAAATTAATCTAAGTAACCTGCCTGTTAACAAATTAAAAATACACATTGTTAACTGCATCTTTTAGCTACATTGAGGAATTATCAAACATGCTCAGTAATGGATAGGGAAGGGGGCTGTCTTTATTTGTAAGAGACGGGCCCCATCTATTTTCCTCTGTACTGATTATACCAGTGATGGCGATCCTTTTAGAGACCGAGTGCCCAAAAACAGGCCTTGCCCCCACCCCATTCCCTGCCCCCTGTCTCACCTACCCACAGGGCCAACCACCACCTCCACAGATCACCCAGGTGGCCCAGCAGCGCCATGGCAGCCACGCCCTCTGCTTGCGCCCCGCAGAATCAACTGCGTGCGACGGGGCACAAGGGCTGAGCCTTGTCCCCGCTGCCCGGCTGCCATGTTCTTGGCTGCGCTGCTCTGCGTGGGCCGCGCTCGGGGGCGATTCTCCTCGGGGGGGGCTGCGGGTAAGGTGGGGGCCACGGGGAGAGGCGTGGCTGGGATGACGGTGAGCATGCCTACAGCGAGGGCTCTGAGTGCCATCTCTGGCACGCGTGCCATAGGTTCGCCACCACTGGATTAGGCAGTTGCAGAAAAGCTGGTAGCTGCTATTAGATCAATTTGCCCAGTGTACAAAGTCAAAATGGCAACAAGCTCACAGTGATTCTATATTTCTATAATTAAGTTCCAGTCTCTATATCGGGTGTCAAACTCGCAATGTCACATGATGTGTCGTGACTTTTTTTCCATTGCTAGCAATGGGGTGGGCGCAGTTTTGGCATGATGCATCCAGTCCGCGGGCTGGCAGTTTGACACCTCTGCTTTATATAATCACAGACTGCTAATCACAGATAGGTCATAATTTGTGGGGGGGAGTAATCCCATAATTCCCTATAGTAATTACTATGGATGGGATAGAGGGCTAGACAGTCGCAGCAGTATGAAAGTATGTACAGTATTTGTATATATCAGATTTAGATTCCAAAATAATGATTCTCGGCATAGTTCAGGAGTAGGTGACGCTAAACCTATTTGCATCGCTCTATTCATCTTTATCCCTGTTTGCATTATTTTTCATCTTTTGAGCTTTTGCTTTTGCTTTTTTTGCATTGATCTCAAAAAGGGATACACCAACAAACAACAAGAAATATTCCCTAACTCAAAAAAAACATAAAGTTCATTATATGTCGCGATCAGTGAAATATATTTCAAGCCTAATTTTACTTAAAACTATAAATTCTGGGGGCTATAGCAAAAGCTGTCAAGGAAACTCAGCATAGTTGATTCCATTATATTTAAGAAATTATTTATGTTGTTTCTTAGTTCAGATGCTGATTTGCAGTGATAGCTGCAAAGTTAAGTTTACGTGATTTTTAGTATTACTAAGTCCAAAAGCTAGGATTCGTTTTTGCATTGGTCTACTACTTCTAGTGGTGCACTACTTCCAGTGCATATTCCAAATTGTTACATATCTCCCTTTACGGTTCAATCTAGGTTTCTAACAGTTTTTCAGACAAAATGCCAATTGTCATTTGATACAGACAACTGGCCCATAAATCTTTTTAGAAATTCCCAAAATCTGCTTTAAATCATGATATCTTACAATTGTTGCATTTGAGAGTGTTTCCTTTGCCAAGAAATAACAGGCGAAAATAATATACAGAGAACGCCATTTGATTTATATCACTAAAGAGTGAAAAATTAAGATGATGCAGATTTGTTGGTGATATATTACCTCAGTGGTCCCCAATCTTTGAGGCTTGGCGGCCTAGGAGAGGGGAACGGGGCTGTGCAAGCAGTGGGCCAGTGCACACATGTACCTCAACTTGCGTGAGCAGAGGACCAATGCACACAGCCATGCGCGTGCAAATCAACTTGCTCACGTTGAGCTGCACGTCCGTGTGCATGCGCACCGGCTTGCCACTCGTGCAACTTGAGCTGTGTGCATGCTTATAATTCTTATAAGATTCATAAGACTCAATATTGCCTAGCAAGCATATCTTTTAGCTAATAAAACTGATTTTCCCCCAAATCTATAGCGATCATTCTACATGCAAATCAATACTGTTAGGATGATGGAGAAGAAATTTTGACTACAAGGCCATATTTGTTCAGAGCTATGGAATCTGCTACTCTCCATCACTGTAGGGTTTCTGAAAAATGTTAGCCTAACTTGTTTCCCATTGTTTCGTCTTAAAAGTATGTAGCATTGGTTTTCAAAATAAATAGGCTTCTGTACAATGGTGTCAGCTGGTAAAAGCTGTTCCACCAGAAAACAGATTGTGAATGTCTGAATCCTTCTCTATATTTGGTAAAATCTGCTCTAGATCCCTATCAAATCTAATCAGCCAAAACAGATTTGGGACAATTATGGGACTTTGAGGAAATTGTTGCAAAGCCCAAACTCACTAAACCTTTTTGGGGGGGGGGGTGTCCAGTTGTATATTGCTAGTTTGTTCCTTATTTATTTTAGTATCACAGTTCTGACTCCGAACTACTTCTACCTAACTTTATGCAGAGACTGGAAATTAAATAGATAAATAGGTTGCCATCTGTTGGATATCCATTCACCATTTTGAGAGAATGGATCAATACACTAGGTCAGGGGTAGGCAACCTTGGCTCTTTTATGAGTCGTGGACTTCAACTCCCAGAATTCCTGAGCCGGCCATGCTGAGGGGAAAGAGAGAGGTTTCCAAGCTGAGCCATTGCTGGCTCAGGAATTCTGGGAGTTGAAGTCCACGAGTCATGAAGAGGCCAAAGTTTCCCTCATGCTGGCTCAGGAATTCTGGGAGTTGAACTCCACAAGTCATGAAGGGGCCAAGGTTTCCCTCATGCTGGCTCAGGAATTCTGGGAGTTGAAGTCCACGAGTCATAAAAGAGCCAAGGTTGCCCACCCCTGCACTAGTCTGTTTTTCCTAAAGTAACAAATATCAGTTAATGTTTGCTGTCTGGGAAGGTTCAGACTTCAATAAAATGTAATATTTTGGATAAAATGTTCACTTGCTAATGCTTTAATTGATAATGTATTGCTTGACAGCTAAAATGTGCGCTCTGGAGGCCTATACTTAGCCTTTTCCCCTCCCTCCGGGCCTCTTTACTCCAGATTGCAATGGGTGGTCGAAGAATGCAGTCTCCTGCATTAGACGGTATGTTGTGGTATGTTGTTATCTTTCTTTAATACAGAAAAACTAAGGCGTAGTCTTCCAAACCTGTCCAGGACATCTAACATCCATGTTGAGTCTGTGAAAAACAGTAGAAGTGATTCAAACTTCCAAGTGCGAAATGGAGGAATGCCTCGTATTCAACCTCAGTCCTCAGCCAGTAAGTATCTTTACGGTGATGCTGTAAACGCAGCTTCTGAAAGAAGACTGAAAATTGTAGCTGCGTGTTTACAGTTTCATGGTAAAGGGATTAGATGTTTCATGCGACCGATGCTAACTTAGCCAGATCTAATGTATGTTGAATGAATGAAATGATTTTTCTGCCCCATCTTTGAAAATATATACATTTTTTGTCCCAAGTTACTTTTTTTTACCTTTAATATGCATTCCTTTTTTTCTAGGTTTACCTTTCTAGGTAAACTAGGTTTAAATTTAGTAATTCTTTAAGCATTCAATATCATCAGCAGTTATAATGTCCATATTTAATTTAATATCACACTCGTATCCTACCTAGGATTTAAAGTGTGCTACAGGTTTCCTTGCAATTTGCAGCTGTGAGATAAGATAAGATAAGATAAGATAAGATAAGATAAGATAAGATAAGATAAGATAACCTTTATTGTCATTTTTTACTGTGGGCACGACGACACACATCAAAAATGAAATTTAGTTGCCCGCTCCCAAGTGAACACATACATGACACACACTTAAACATACTATATACAACATATGTATACACCAGGGGTCTTCAAACTTGGCCCTTTTATGGCTTGTGGACTTCAATTCCCAGAATTCCTCAGCCAGGCACGCTGGCAGAGGAATTCTGGGAGTTGAAGTCCACAAGTCATAAAAGGGCCAAATCCGAAGGCCCCTGGTGTAGACCTACAGCCCTACATATACATATCTTCAATATAGTATAAAAAAATATTGAAAAGCAATTTTCTTTTTGCAGTTAATGCCTCAATACTGTTTTTAGGGAATAAGATAAAGACAGTGCATTGTGCTCTGTGTGGCTTCTCCTAAGACCTAAACAGATAAAAGTACAGCCATTCTCATTTCATACTTTAGACTGGTTTCCTGAAATGTTTACCCGAATAAAGGCAGAATAAAGCATTTAATGTTGCTGATTTCACAAATATCTTTGTCATCTCTGCAGATCTTTATGTGCTGAGCGCTAAGAACTGCACAAGATTGTTTGTCCAAATGCATTTTTCTGCAGTTAGAAATGCTTGTATTACTGGTGTCCCTGGTCAGCAAAATCAAACTGAACATATTCATGGTTTCCATGCTCAGAGCACAGATGTCTGCAGAGGTGTGCAGATGTTTGGGGGTGGGATTTACTCACTTTTTGTTAACCTTCAGTGCTGTTATGCTTACATGTACCATCTACATGCCCGCAAAGTAGCACAATATGCTGAACACAATAATGTAATTAATGATGTAGCCATTGTTTGAGCATATTGATTTGCCTTGCATTGATTATGCTAAAGAGTCTCCCTCGGGCTATGGGAACATATGTAGAGGATGTATTTGTAAAAACAGAGCTTTGACTTTTCAGGCAATATTATTAATTGCCTTGTATGTTAAGACGTGTGTCTAGAGGGGCAGGTGAATCCAGACACACCTCTAATATACGGATACAAAATATATACTGTATGTATTGTAGAACTGAGGTTTTCAAATTTGGAAGGAACATGGAAACTTAAAAGGCATGACTTTTGGAAGCTAAGGGTTAAATTACACTTGATAGTAAACACGAAGCTTAACATGGCATATATTGTTGCTTAACTGTTAAGTAATAGTGACTGGGTAGTTCATTCAGAATTGTAGCACTTGTAGTGAGAAGGGATATTAATATCTTGCCTAGTCCAGGGGCAAGGGCAACCTTGGCTCTTTTATGACTCATGGACTTCAACTCCCAGAATTCCTGAGCCAGCCATGCTGAGGAGAAAGGGAGAGGTTTTCATGCTGAGCCATGCCAGCTCAGGAATTCTGGGAGTTGAAATCCATGAGTCATAAAAGAGCCAAGGTTGCCTACCCCTGGCTTAGTCATTGCTAACATATTTTCTTGAGTTTTATATGAGCTGAGAGTTTTAATTCAGAAGAACACATTTCCATCTGTCATCCCAATTGCCGAAGCTATTTGCAACTAAACAAAGATGTATTTGATGATATTGAACAGTATGTGCTTAACATTGTATGTGGTTTGCCCCTAATGTATTCTTAAGTTTGATATATAGAGATCTTGCTATTATATGCTTTTCGGTGTTTGTGAGTTACCTTTTCATGTTTTCATTGGAATTTCTTTTACAAAGCACTATCATATTGTGGTGGCTTTTTCACTTCAAGCTGCTGTTCTGCATGGACTTAACTTGGTTGACAAGGTTACTTTGATTTATGTTTAAAACTATTACCTTTTTCATTCCACAAGTAAAGCTTTCAGAAACTGCATGCCTACCATATTAGTATTGAAAAATACTAATGTACATATAAACCATGTATCCACACTGATATAAATGTCAGTACATAGCATTAATATGCATATATAATATCAGAACATTTACAGATTTTGATACCTATATTGAAAAAGTGTGTTTATTTTTATACCAAGTTCCGAGCTGACAGCTCTTGTTAGTGTGTAACAGTAAGCTCTACTTTATTTCAGTCATGGTTTGTCGAGCAAACAGGTTAGTTTTCACATCTTATAGTTGCTTCTTTGCTCAGTATTAGCTTGATCCTGCCCTCACTTTTCTGCAATAGACCCTGAACATTTTGCTGACATTCTGAATTAGCATAGACTCAATACTACTTACAGTGGTACCTTGGTACTCAACTGCTTTGAAACTCATAAAATTTAATACTCAATGCATTTTGATGTGAAAATTTTGCCCCAATACTCATTGTTTGTTTGGCATTCAACACATAAGCTAGAACGTATTGTTATCAACTGCCTTGTGGCACATTATATTATTCCCTTATGGGAAAAATGTGTTTGGTACCCATCACGCCTCCTGGGAGCAATTAACAACGAGTACCAAGGTATCACTGTACTTAACATTATCCAGTTGCAGAATGTGATAGGGGACTCAAATCATTTTTGGCCATTTAAGGGTACATGTTAGAACAGGCGTCTTCTTTTCCTAAACGTGAACAGGATAGTCCTGACCTCATCTTTTCCTGACAGGAACATAACTCACACTCTTCCCTCAGTGGATTGCCATAAATTTATTTGCATAGTCAAAAGCAAAGAGTTAATACTTAACCCACACCGGCTTTGGCAGAAATTTGCCTAACACCGTTTTCATCTTCAGCAAAACAGAAAAAAAATCTGTTTCCAGTTGTTCCCTAGAATTCTTCCCCCCCACCCACCCAAAAAAAAGATCAGTGCTTACTCATTTCGGTTTCCTAAGCTGACAGGTTAGGGAGAAGAAAGTTTAGAGAGAGATACAGTGCATGAAGCAAATTGTTACATTGTAGCAGGCAGTGGTCACAGGCAATAAACAAAGCAAAAGGTTACCCCTCCCCCTTGGGAGTATGGCAGAACCTGGGGAAAAGTGAGATTTGTTTTTAGATCAGAGGAGATAGATAGAAATGAAATAGAGATGGGTTCTGACACTATACTTGGTTATGGGCTCCCGGCTTCTGAAGATTCTTTCTCCATAACCAGCACTTGCTCATCAATAAAGATACTTTTTGATTCATGAGGAACTTTGTTCGATGGCAAATGAAAGCAGTATTTTGTTACAGTAGAAAAGGAGTGGTAGAGGAAAGAAGTTGTGCATAAAGAGAGATCTCTTGGGAATATGCTTTCGGGGATAGATGCAGATAATTGGGAGAGATGATCCCAAGTGGACTCCCCCCCCCACACATACATTTCTGGTATAATTTATTTGATATCAGCTGACATTTTCAGGCTATATATTTGCATAAGTGAGTAAGAGTGGTGTGATGGCCTAGAGGTGGAGCTCTCACCTCACAGTCAGGAGGCTGTTAGTTCGATCCTAGATAGTGGCAGATATTTCTCTGGGCACAAAGAGAAAATATCTGTTGTGAACTCCACGTAGGTGTCAGGAAGGGCATCCAGCCAGCAAACGCTCAGCTCCAATCAGTTGCCCTGCCTCCATCCCAAAGCAAGGTATTGCAGAGTTGTTAAAAGGAACAAAAATGAATGAGTAAGATCTTCAAGTGACACAGGAAAGAAGTAACTTCAATCTCAATTTTTAACCACCTAAATATAATCTTTTATTAGGCAGCAGAGGTAAATTATTAGAGAAAAGGCAGACAAATAAAGAATCATATAGCCACCAAAAGAATATGAATCTAGGCCAGGGGTCTTCAAACTTGGCCCTTTTATGACTTGTGAGCATGTCTGACTGAGGAATTCTGGGAGTTGAAGTCCACAAGTCATAAAAGGGCCATGTTTGAAGACCCCTGATCTAGGCAGACAAAGAATCATGCAGCCACTGAAAGAATGTGAATCTGGGAAAAAAAAAAAAATTCTATCAGCGTTAAGAGAATATTATGGGTTTAAATGTAATGATATTTCAAAGTTAACACAAACTAGATTTTTTTAAAAAAAATAATTCAGAAGAGGGTTGATCTGCTGAAAAAAAACCATAAACTATAATTAGATTAGAGTCAGAATCAAATCTCAATTCATCTAGACAAATCTTAAGTTGAAATTTTACTAGTGTTAGGATCTGTTAAATCTAGCTGAAATACTTGATATGCTTTCCCTCTTAGTTTAATATTGTGCATGTCAAAATAGTTATTATGTGCTATTTTATATTTTCTGGAATGGGAGGCTAGAGGAAAAAAAATTAGAGGGGAGCAGAGGACATAACATTGTTTCGGTGAATCATTTCAAAGATATATTTGTAATGTAGTACAATTTATTTGGACGATTAAAAATTAAAACATCTATTATTGAGATCAGGGAGTAACCAAGCCATTTGCTAAATCTCATTAAACTAATTTAAAATTAGATGAGTGCCAATTAAACTGAATGTAGATAATTATATCGCATATTACCTAATAGGAAGACTCATTGTAATTATTTGTGAATTTAAGGAAAGGAGTTGTTGCTTAGAAGAACAGAAGAAAACAAGTAAATAGTGGAGATGCAGATAAATGTGAATTTTATGGCTGTTCTAAAGCCTTTGAAGAGTTTGGAGTTTAGCTATTGCTTGATAGAGGCTGTTTTGCCTTTGCCTTCTTTCTTTCCAAAAGCCTATTCTTTACCCTCATCTTCTTCTAGCTTTCTTCTCCCATTGCTCTTCCTAGGGCAGGTAACTGTTCCCAGATCCTATTTCTGTTGTTTGCTGCTGCTGCTGCTGTTCATTCTTTGTTGATTTTTGCACATGGAGCAAAAGGAAACAAACAGTGAATGTGTGAATGGCTTATATCTATGAAAGAGAGTGGTCCATAAATGCAAACAGGATCAGTGTCACTGGCCTTTTGAAAAAAGTGTCGTCTTAGCAGCTGCACACACGTGAACACATGTTAAATAAATAATAAATAAATCCGTCTGTTCTTCTAAATGCTTGGCAAGCAGTTGATTTTTTTAATTATTCTCAAAATGAGTTTAATTATGCCTGTCTGATCTAAAGTATGTTAAGAGTGGTCATCTGGTTAGAAAACTTCTCATGCACGGAAGCAAGGCAGACGATGCTAAAGAGTATTCCATGTTGTGTTGCAGAATTTTGTTTCATGACTGTTACACTGGACAGACTAGTGATTTATATTGGTCTTCATAGATCAGCTTTAATGTATGGCATCCTATGTATTCTTTCCCTCTCTTCCGTGTTGATGGCAGAGCTTCTTCACCTTTTCTGTATAATAGGAATGGATTGTTAAATAGCCATCAGTGTAATGTTTGAGTATCAGAAGCTATTCGGGATGAAGAAATGCCACTTTGAAATAAGAAAGAGACAAGTTAGCAGTTTTATTTCAGAAATAAATATTCTTTAAAGCGCACATATCTTTGGGAAGAAGAAAATGCTCTTAAGAGTTGACCGATGTGAAACTTTATAAACCTTTTGAGTTAAATGAGACAGTTGCCCTCTTAAGTTTAACCTTGCACTGATATGGCTTTGCATGATTGGCTGGTGGTTTGTTTTCACGTCTAGGCGTGCAGGTATTTATTATTATTTTGGCCTGCAAAAATCCTTTGCCTGCTAAAGCACATGATGCATTTTATTCTATACATTTTCTGACAGTTCTTACTGTGGTGAGAGCCTCACTTCTTTAAAATAAAACACTTTGCTGCTACTGCTGCTACTATTACTGGAGCCATAACAGTTTTTCAAAGCTATTTTTTTTTTTTGTTCATATCAGCTTCGTTTAGACAGAGATAACATGTCTTTGTTTCAACAGCTCTGCAAAAGCAGAAAAATTTGCACCGTGTTGCCTTCAAAACCAAACAGCTACTTCATACTCCAGGCGCCAAAGGAGGTAATTAGCTTAAAGGCTCTTACTGAGCTCCAGCAAAAGTCAGAAAGTTGTTTCTTTATGTCAGGGGTCCTCAAACTTGGCCCTTTTATGACTTGTGGACTTCAACTCCCAGAATTCCTTAGCCAGACACACTGGCTGAGGAATTCTGGGAGTTGAAGTCCACAAGTCATAAAAGGGCCAAGTTTGAAGATCCCTGTTTTATGTGTACTACAACAACTTTGTAGTTCCGGTATTCCCCAGGGAATATTAATCTTCAGTGTTAACACTTGTTCACACTTGTTCCTCTGTAAAGACCTGACTATATCTGTTTTGTCATCCTGTACCTCAAACCCTCGAAGCACGTTTGAGCTGTAGATTTGGGGCACCAGCTTATCAGCAAATGCTAAATATTTGAAGCTTGGTACAAGATTCAGCCCAGCCAGACCTGTCAGAAAAAGATTAACTCATGTTGAGATTGTACAAATGAACTTTCTTCTTGCTTTCTAAGAAGAAGCTTCATTATACTAATTGATTTTGGGGGGGGGGGGTTTGCCTTAAATCAGGGGTGTCAAACTCAATTTCACTGAGGGCCGCATCAGCATTGCAGTTGCCCTCGGGGCTGGGTGGGTGTGGCCAGGGTGGGTGCGGTTACTGGGTGGGTGTGGATGGAGGGGTGTGGCCTACTGGGTGGGTGTGGCCAGCTCTACATCATTCACGTCAAGAGTGCCTGTGGGGGCCTGGGCAGGAGTTGGATAGATCTGAGGGTCTCTAGCACAAGGGGATGGGACCGGGGCAAGCGCCAAGGCATGGTCCACTGGAGGAGCCTCACTGTTCCTCTCAGGCCATGGGGGGGGGTCTTATGGAGCTAAGACTGAACGCGTTTCAGCATAGATGGCCACCAAAAAATGTACATGGGCTCCCGGCTGGCCTGGGCCAGAGTCAAGGCAGAGGGGGCCATTCCCTCACTGTTTCCAGGATGGCTTCACGGGCCACATGAAACCACTTCGCAGGTCGCATCTGGCCCCCGGGCCTTGTGTTTGACATGTCTGACTTAAGTCAACTCAGCATCCTGAGTGGAGTTTCAAGGCTGTTTGATTGTCATCCTTTCTAGATAGAATCTATCATTACTTCTTGAGTTGGCTTTTCAGGGACAGGATATTAATCTTTTAGTCTTAGATTAGTATACTTAGAAAGATATGATTTATAATTAGGATGGTTCACTTTTCTGTGGTATGGGAAATATGAAAATATCAGGATGGCTCTTAACAAGGGAAGTAAGAATTGTATTTGCTTAGTGCTGGAAAAATGAAGAAACATCACCTGAAGCAGAGAGGATCAAGAAAACACCAGACTGTGTAGAAATTGGCAGATCAATATTGGAAAAGAAGACAGAATAATTTCAAATATGGGATGTAGTTTATCATTGGCCGGAAAAAAGGGTAGAGATTAGGAATTCAATATCTATTATTAAGTAAAAAATGGAGCCAGACAACATGTTGTTTACTAAGCATTTATGATTTGTAACAATAGAAAAATTTTTGAAACGACTTATTTCACCCTGTCGTATTTAATCAGCATTGTACCAATTGGTATTATTCAAGTTTGATATCTCTGAAATTCATAGTTGGTGAAGGAAACTCATTATTTTCATCAAGACTAATTACTTTTGATATTCTTACATTCCGCTTTTAAAAAACTCATAGGACAACTATCTAAAGTAGTTTTGTACTGCTAAAAAAAAGAATAACTGTGGAACTTAATATTATCAGGATAATACATGGCGTCTTTGAGAAAGCTAAACTTAATCACAGTATTTTAGAAAAAGCCTTGGCATTTACAGTAAAAAAAAAAAGCTTGTCCACATTATTGGAAAGCTCAGGATACTAAATCTTGACTGACTTCAGAAATTTTAAGTAATAAACATTGTTCCGGTGTTTATGCAGATCTCGCAATATAAAAACACACAAATAATGTTCACCTGGTACATAGCTTTTGGTGAGCAGCACAAATCATGCAGTATAGCAATCCTCTATATTGGATACCGTTATTGTGGACTTCTGCTTCACACATGCCTACCCAAAACCAATGTCAAAATTATTGCAACAATCCCAACTACCCATAACATCAAAGCCACATTGCATCACATCAAATGTAGTTGTTTTTAGAAGCCTTGCTTAAATTAAGCTTCAGTTTCTTTCTATAGTTTATAAATGACTTCAGGCATCAATTTAAAATCTAAACAGTTAGCTGGGATTTTGATTGGAAAAAAGATAAGCAGTGTTAATCTTTTGGCTTAAGGTTCTTCTGCCATGCACTTCTAGGTAAACTACATATCTTGGCTTGTCCAGGCATGCATCTAGTAATCTATTACACAGATCAAGAATTTAAAGTGTTTCGTAATTAATGTCTTTTGATTTTGCACCATATATACAGTAGAAGGCCAGTTTGATTTCCTTGGTATACTGTAGTTTCATCTGTATTTTCATGCAAGAAGTTACAATTTTGCATTCATAAGATTAGCCTATTGCAGGGGTAGGCAACCTTGGCTCTTTTATGACTCGTGGACTTCAACTCCCAGAATTCCTGAGCCAGCCATGCTGAGGAGAAAGGGAGAAGTTTCAAAGCTGAGCCATGCCGGCTCAGGAATTCTGAGAGTTGAAGTCCACCAGTCATAAAAGAGCCAAGGTTGCCTACTCTGGCCTATTGCCTGCGGGATTGGGTTTGTGTTTCTCAAGATTTGTAAGTTTGTTGTTTCTTTATTGGAGGGCTCCATTTTTGAGGCAGTCTTGGTCTTCAGAGGAGGACTCTAATTAGTGTGGCACCAATAAGGGAAAACATCTGATTTGCGTGCTGAATTTATTGCTGTTGAAAGTGGGTGGCATAGAAGTGTGGTTACAAATAAACATCTCTGAACTAAAGACTTATTTGAGAATGGAACAAAAAAGACAGTTCATTAATACTTACATCAGACTGCAAATGATTTAGACCTCAGACAAAGAAACTCTTTTTCTGAGTGATTTGCTTTTTCTCGTAAAGGCCTTTTTTGTTACTGCTAAATCACATTTCTGTGGGCAGTGTGTTTTGCAGACAAATGAAGTTTTTTTTTTATAAAGTCAGCCTGGGAAGCCTTGTTCATAGGATATCTTAGAGCAGTGGTTCTCAACCTTTTTAATGCCGCGACCGCCAACCGGTCGTAAGTCAAGGACTACTCAACCGGTCGTAAGTCGAGGACTACTCAACTGGTGCAGCACCGTTTGCAGAATGGGACTTTTGGCGGGCTCAGCAGGGCAGAGACAGCCTGGACAATTTCTATTGGCTTTTGAACGCCAATAGAATTAGACTCTATTCAAGAGAGTCTATTCTATTGGCTTTCAAAAGCCAATAGAATAAAAGGGAGTAGCACAGCTAAGGAAAAGGGGGAAAAAATGGTGGACTGCATTGTTTGGCAACCCCCGTGAAATGATCATTCGACCCCAGATGGGGTCCCGACCCACAGATTGAGAACCACTGTCTTATAGCATTTAAAGAGAAATTAATGTTTTCTTAATTTAATGGGTGTGTGTGTGTGTGTATGTGTGTGTGTGTGTGTTTATGATGCACTCGGTCAGCCCAAATATGTGAAGAAGAAATCTGATGAGAGCTAAGAAGCTTGAAATAGCTATACCAGCTTCCTTTTAAGTCTTTGTTAGCAATCCAAATTTAACATAGATAGATAGATAGATAGATAGATAGATAGATAGATAGATAGATAGATAGATAGACAGACAGATAGATAGATAGATAGATAGATAGATAGATAGATAGATAGATAGATTGATTTTCATACTTGAATTTACTATTCTGTTTTTCAAAAAGATTTCCCTACAGTGAGCTGGAATTGCATTTATTTATTTACAGCTCCAAGAGCTTTCAAGATCTGTAGTTACATTTAATGTTTCTCAAATATCCCTCTATCTTTATTTAGCAGTTTTTGCAATTCATTATGTTGAACTTTTTCAAACCCAGTTTGTGTCTCCCCCCCCCCATCCACCCCCAGGACCCATTGTCTGTTCCTCAAAACCCCTTCGCTATGCCACCTTGGAAATATTCTTGACAGAAAGATCCTTTTGTATTTTAATATAATCATTGCACAACATAAATATATGAAGGATCAGAAGAAAAAGATTACAACAATCTTGTAACATGTAACGTCATCTGTTAAGTATCAAATCTAGCCGTTTTCGTGAAACATAATTCTTCTTCTTGGATATCTATCTCTTTAAACTGGAAGTGGCCTACGTTGTTTGCATGATTACAGACCATAACATTCCTATTGGGATGGTTTATCATCAATTATATATTCATACTTTGAGAGATAGTATATTTGGTCCATAAGGCAGGCCCATATTTACACATCACACACTTTTTGAATGTACTTTACCTTACAAATTCATAGTGTGAATACGAGCCTCATTTAATTGAAGTAAATACTTATTCAATTTCAATCTGGTGCGTCATACACCATTTAAAGTATTGTAATACTTTAATACTTAATGTTGTTTTCTCTGTATATTGTACACTACATTCTTAGCTTGCCAGATATATTATCCTCATTTTCTAATGTAATAGAAAGGTATTATTTGGCTGTATTGATCATTTTAAACAGAAAATTAACTGTTAATCCTAAACTTATCTACAATTAGCAATTGTTTAAGAAAAAGCCAAAGCCAAATACTGAAGTAATTAGCTAAAAGAGTACACTGTAGAACAGGGCTGTGAAACGGCCGGCCGGCAGGCAGGATGCATCATGGCAAAACCGCGCCCACCCCATTGCCAGCAATGGGCAAAAAAAGTCACAATATGTCGCAACACATCACGTGACGTTGCGAGTTTGACACCCCTGTTGTAGAAAGAATCTTTAAATTTAAATTTGAGGACTCTTAAACTTCCTTTTTCAGTAAGGAATTACGGAAACGTAGACCCACTTCTGCACATCATTCATGAAAACCATTCGTCTGAAATGGTATAGGGTTTCTTGCTTGAGCAGGGAGTTGAACTAGAAGACCTCCAAGGTCCCTTCCAACTCTATTATTATTATTATTATTATTATTATTATTATTAGTAGTAGTAGTAGTAGTAGTATTTAGCTGCTGAAACATTTAGAATTAATTTGCTACACAGTTACTTCTCATTGCAGCTGTTTTTATTTGCACCGCTTCTCACTGAATTGCTCATCTTTCCTGGTAGAATATTGAAAGGACATTGTCATTTAGATCTGACCCATTTGCATCTCTCAAAAGCAAGGTTCAGAAATATTGGCTATTGTGAACTAGTATGCATTGGGTGCTGTTCTACTCCATCGCTGATGCTTTTAGGCTCTGTCTGATTTTAAGCTGCGACCATTTTACAGCTCTGACACTGAACGTGACTTGTCTCCTTTTGTTGCTATTCCAGTTCCGTCTCCCAGTAAATTCCGGTCTCCAGCAGCGCCCTCCCCTCTGGCTCTGAGACAGCCAGTGAAAGCGTTTAATACCCATGGACCTAATTCTGTTCCTGAAGCCACGCCGCTTCCGCACGGCAGCTCTTCGCCGGGGCCTTTAGCAGCTCCCAGTTCTGCAAGTCCAGCCGGCAGCATCAACAGCACGACCCTTACCAGACCTGCGGGAACCACAGGGTTGAGGAGTGGCTTGCCAAGACCGAGCACCCCCGGCACGGGGGGCATCCCAGTGCCTCGCAGCAAACTCACACAGCCCATGCGCAGGTGAGCCTACCGCTTTTTCCATGGCAAAAGACATCATTTGGGAGAAACAGTCATGTCCTGGGTCACGTTATCTTACACCGCTAGAATGATCTGTCTGCATGCGTTTATTCTGAAAACGAAACACTTTTGTATCAAAATTAATGTATTTTTCAGTGGTGCGTTTCTGGTATTTCAGAGAAGCTGGCAAATAGAGGGGAATGATACTTTCGAATAGAATAGAGCTGGAAGGGACTTTGGAGGTCCTCTAGTCCAGCCCCCTGCTCAAGCAGGAGAGCCTATACCAATGGTTCTCAACCTTTTTAATGCCGTGACCCCCCAACCGGTCGTAAGTCGAGGACTACTCAACTGGTGCAGCACCGTTTGCAGAATGGGACTTTTGGCGGGCTCAGCAGGGCAGAGACAGCCTGGACAATTCCTATTGGCTTTTGAAAGCCACTAGAATTAGACTCTATTCAAGAGAGTCTATTCTATTGGCTTTCAAAAGCCAATAGAATAAAAGGGAGTAGCACAGCTAAGGAAAAGGGGAAAAAAATGGCGGACTGCGTTGTTTGGCGACCCCCGTGAAATGGTCGTTCGACCCCAAATGGGATCCCGACCCCCAGGTTGAGAACCACTGACTTAAAGAATCTTTATTTGAGTAGCATAGCATTAGCACTAACATAGTCAAAGCCAAAAACTGGATTCCCCTCCCCTGAGCACATAGTATCAAAACACAATTCCCTCCTCCCGTTAACAGTCATAAATCACATTCTCCAAATTAGTTTGAAATGCAGGCTTTCCCTCCAGTTCTCCAGCCCACCAGTTCTTGTCATCTCTTATTTCATTAACCTCGGTTCTCACACTAGTTCAGTATTGTTATGTCTAGCTAAACTCTCATGCACATTCCTCCCCCCCCCCATCATCATCTAACTCTAAAAGTAAAACATAGGAAGAAAATGGTTGCATCTCTAACTGTTGTCAAAGCAAAAACATCCGATGTTAGCAGTGTTGACACCTAAGGGGTTCCTTTAACCAAGAAATGTATCAGGTGCGCCTGCATGGGTGATTTCATGCAAGAATCGATAAAATTTATCTCCCAGTCTTGGGCTCTTCAACAACATATCAACCTGCAGCTGCGCTTTGGCTGCACAAATCCAGACAGCTTTTGCTCTTTTGCTGCCATCTAGTGATTTGTAATTTAATAGGACAAAAATCCTTTAGGACAGTGGTTCTCAACCTGTGGGTCGGGACCCCATTTGGGGTCGGACGACCATTTCACGAGGGTCGCCAAACAACGCAGTCCGCCATTTTTTCCCCCTTTTCCTTAGCTGTGCTACTCCCTTTTATTCTATTGGCTTTTGAAAGCCAATAGAATAGACTCGCTTGAATAGAGTCTAATTGTATTGGCTTTCAAAAGCCAATAGGAATTGTCCAGGCTGTCTCTGCCCTGCTGAGCCCGCCAAAAGTCCCATTCTGCAAACAGTGCTGCACCAGTTGAGTAGTCCTCGACTTACGACCGGTTGGGGGTCGCGGCATTAAAAATGTTGAGAACCACTGCGTTAGGAGGAAAAAAAAGTGGATGGGATGGAATGGAACTCCTGACCCTAACAAGCACCATTCCAGCCACATTTTGCATGGGGACAGGCGGTGGCTTTTCCACAGTTCAGGATCCTGAAATTTTGTCCAGAAAAAAAACCCACCAATTGCTGTCCTTAAGAGTGTTGCTTGGAGGGACTATAAAGAGTAGCACAACATGGCTAGGTTCAAGGGCAGACTGTAGGCAGGGCAAAGCAGTTGTGCATTTGACGGTCCCATACGTGCACAGAAGGCAACTCTGAAAGCTAGAAGGGGAGCATAGAGCTAATCTCAAAATGGTGACATTTAAATGCCTGCTAAATTTAAAGAGCAATACAAAATTATTATACAATAAAGGGCATAAGGCAGATGTATGAAAGCTTCTTCCTGTGCCAGGCTACCGTATAATTAGAGCACCAAAAGGAAGCATAAGAAAAGGTACTGTGGAATATTATTGCTGATCCTACAGTTTCTTGGCATTAGGAGAGAAGCAGTACAAAACCTTCGACGGTTTTCATTTTTTGTTCCTGGGTTCTTTACATCAAAAGAAAAAGAGAGAGAGAAAGAGAGATACAGTAGGCTATAAAGAACCAGAATATCTGGGAGAGACCTTCTGATGAATCTCATTTTCTCTGTTTCAGATCTCTGCCAGTTCCCAAATCCTATAGCAGCGTAAAAGACGAGAGCTGGAAGGATGGCTGCTACTGAACAGCAAAGCTTTGTAACTCACGATATCCTTCTTCACCAGGCTAAACCACAGATCAACATGCAGACTGATGAAAAATACTTTGGGAGGAGGGGGGGGGGTTGAAACTCTCCAGATCTCTCTGTCTTTAATTAGCACAAGCTGGCAGAGATTATAAAACAGCACTTTAATGACATTTAACATCAGATACTTGGTGATCACTCAGATTATTTTTACGTGAATCACGTATCGCTTCTGAAGCTCTACTTCCCTGCTTCCTAAAATTGTTATCGATGCTCACATGACTACAACAGTCCACATGGCTACAACAAGGGCAAATGTCTGAATATGCCAAAGATACATCCATGTTGAAAAAGCAGCACATAAAATATTAAGCAAAAACCATTCTTGAAAGACCATGCGTTACTTGATTTTGAAGAGCAAGGCTTGTTTTAACCTGTAGAAGAGAAATATTAACGTTGATCAAAGCAAAAATTGGATCGTAAAATGCTACTGGGCTAGTGAGATTGTTTTAGACAATTGTGGAAGAGGTGTGTGGAGAAACGGAGTCACAACAGAACCTTGTCTCTGGAGTCTCACTGTGGGAGTGATAGAGTTGTACCAATTTTTGTTTTTTGTTTTTTTTTTTTTTTAAAAAAAACACCTAGGCCTCTGAGACTTGATAAGCATAGGTTGCCATTCTTTTACGTTGACGTGTCATATCAGGTTTTGTATAATACTACGATTGCCAAAAGGGCTCGTTTATCAGTTGTACAATCCCAAAAGTAGCTGTTCCTGGCTCAGGAAAATAGCATTTTTATTTTTTATTTTATTTTTTTGCAGCGATGTTTTTAAACATGTGAGTCTTTTTTAGAGCAAGCTTCCTGGGAAGAGAAAAAAGGAAGAGAACTGATGAAGAAATAATTGCCAGGTGTATAATGCCTGGAGTGCAACTGAGCAGGCCTGTAGTTAACATGAAGGAAAAACAACAACAGCAACAACAACAACAACAACAACTATGCAGCTCTTGCCCAGAGATTCTAAGGAAATCAATTGTTCCGCTGACACCAAATGCTTTATTCCTGTGGGTTATGTTTCACGGTATGAGGGAGTCTTTATCCTTTTTTTAAAAAAAAAAAAAAGATCAGCTTCCTAGAGGTGTGTTTAATTGTAAATACTTCCACTGAGGTTATTGCCCCTATTAATATTTTAACTATGTACTTTGCCTTATATTTGTATTTTGCATTGTTGGTAACAGTTTGAAAAAAAAGAAAAGAAAACTCTGCCATGTATGTTTACAAAGTGGTTTGCTCCTCTAACAGTTGTCAGCTTTTCGCTATTTTGCCAATCCTCGTTGTCAGGGTATCCCTCACGCGGTAGAAAACTATTAATACTCAAAAGCCCCATCTCTTGCGGCTCCCTTTTCGGTTGTTTTAGGTCAGGGGTAGGCAACCTTGGCTCTTTTATGACTCGTGGACTTCAACTCCCAGAATGCTGAGAGGAAAGGGAGAGGTTTCCATGCTGAGCCATGCTGGCTCAGGAATTCTGGGAGTTGAAGTCCACGAGTCATAAAAGAGCCAAGTTTGAAGACCCCTGTTGTAAGCTCTCCTCAACGTTAAAACTATGCTGAATGCCTAAAAATGGAGAAAGGATTTCTTTCTATTTCTGAGGAAAGAGTAATTCATTTGCAGACAAGCCATCCTGAATGAATGGATTGCCGATATAGTCAATAATTAGATAATACCCAATTTAAATATTAATCCACATACAAACCAGATAATCTCATTAACTTAGCCCAGGAGAAGGCAACCTTGGCTCTTTTATGACTGGTGGACTTCAACTCCCAGAATTCCTGAGCCAACCATGCTGAGGGAAAAGGGAGAGGTTTCCAAGCTGAGTCATGCTGGCTCAGGAATTCTGGGAGTTGAAGTCCACGAGTCAAGGTTGCCTACCCCTGAGTTAGGTTGTAGTGGAAGACAGAAGAAAAGTTATTTATCGGAAAGGAATTCAGAATCAGTCACTTGCAAGGATTATTTTCCTTTTTAAAGAAAGGAAAGGCAGTCTCTCGGAATGACGTTTCCTTTTGCTGTCTAAAGTATTGAGCTAAACAAACAAACAAAAAGGTTTTAGCTAGGATGCCATTTTGGTAAGGACTGAGCATCAAACATACTCTGTTTGCAGCTTGAAACCCTCATTCATGCCTGCCTCTTAAAGTGTGTATTTTTGAATTTTGCAAAAAAAAAAAAAAAAAAAGAGTAAGTGGTTTGGGGATTCCCATCTTTGATTATTTAGGTAGCCTTCCTAGATTAGTGGATTAAAAGCCATGCAATTTTTACTTGAATTGGAAAAGTGACCAAGGCAGGATAGGACTAGACATCTGTTCCAGCACTCAGGCATTTTTGTTTTTATTTTTTAATTTAAAGGGATGGCCCTTCCATGGTCTTGTGTGAAGGATGGGATTCTGGAATCTTTAGATGCTGGGTTCTGAAGGCACAATATGGACCTTTCAGACATAAATTATCACCTGCAAGTAAGACCCTGGGCATCAATGACTTCGTTTTCACTTTGCAGCTTTACATAGTGGAATTACTTGCACTTGTGTGACTCACAAGCACATTGTGGGGAGTGATTTTCCTTTAACTGGGAATGTTACTATGATCACATCCTAATTGCAGTCAAGCCAGATCAAAAAGAATTGAACCTGGGTGTCGTCTTAAATCAGGGTAGCCAGTAATTGTAGGAAGGGAAATTAACAGGAGCTGTGTTGCACTGTTAGTCCAGCATGTTTAAAGTGCTGATCAGAAAAAAAACATGAGATATCTAAATATTTTTAGATAACTTTTACCTAGTCTAATTTTTAAAATGGGGCTCTAGCCAAGCAGATATTGCAGTCTTTATAAGTGAGAACGTTCTCATTTCTACTTTTACTAGAAAAAATACTTTATCTGAATATTTTCTTCAAACATCCAGATGTTGCCTTTTTAAGCAAGCTACATCACCTTAATTTATAAGCGTGTTTTACGAAGCTCAACCTTGAGTTACTTTTGATAATGCATCACGTTTTGAAGGCATCATCCCCCCTTGTTGCCACATTGCAATAAACATCCAGCAAATTTAGATTCCTGAAAAAAGTGTAACTAGAGGAGACTTTCACACTGTCAGTTTATTTGATTGCCACCACATCCTATGACTTTTTTTGTGTTTTAGAGGTTTGGGTATGTTGAAGTGTGGAAACATGAATATGATAAACTAGTGCCTATGATTTACTTAATTTATGTTTGACAATAGTTGTTAAGGGTTTTATGAATGTGGGGGGGGGATTGTGTCAACAGCTCAGAATTGTTGTATGTGTGTAGGCAGAAAAGAGGAGTTCTGCTTCTAAAATTATTTAATTTTTCCTCAGTGTTTGAATGTTTTTGTAAATGTTAATAAAAAAGTGTAAAAAGGAAGAATATAGGTATTCTTAAAACATTTCTTTGACTCCTTTTTTGAAATAAAATATATATAAAATGAAATATTTGTTGTTTTATATTAAATAACTTTGTTCATTTGTATGTTTTCAGAAACAAAGCTTGTATGGGAGAGCCGTGTTCAAATTGCACATAACAGCAACAATTCCACTTTTAAACATAGTATATTGTGAATCGAAAAGGGAGAGTTGATTTTAAGAGCAAAAGAAAACGTTCAGCAGCAGCGTAATTTATAGAACTATTTTTGAATCTTGTCTGCATAATTTTGTTCTAATAATACAAGCTATCTAATTTTAGTTTAATTTATTCGTATGAAATGCTGAAAGCTTACCATGAGAGCATTCTAGTTTTCTTAGCTTTACGTTTCTTTTTCAGATGTTCTGTTTTCTAAATCTTCATTTGTTCTGTTAACAAAACTTCTAGAATTGAATTGCTCCTATTTTTATGGATTTTTTAAAGCTTAACATTCTGTAAGTTCATTTTTTTTAAAAAAAATGGCTTTTTTGTTTGTACATCTATAATATAAATGTTTTTGTACATTTTATGCAAACGGAGATGACCTCATCTCCCTTAATTTACTACTACTTAAAAGCACAATTTTGTGTTTGAATTTTTTATCAACTTGCAAATTTTTCAATGGATGAATTAAGCCCCTAATTACAGTCCTGATCTTATAAAGGAAAAATATAAGTTTGGTTAGAGTTTGAAAAAAAATACCAGCTTTGCTCTTTTTACATAACTTTCTAGAGCAGTGGTTCTCAACCTTTCTAACGCTGCGACCCCATAATACAGTTCCCCGTGTTGTGGTGACCCCCAACCACTTATACATCACCGGGTGCCAGGGGCGTGGCCAAAGAAAAGGGAAAAATGGCGGACAGCCTTGTTTGGCGACCCCCATGAAATGGTCGTTCGACCCCAAATGGGGTCCCGACCCACAGGTTGAGAACCACTGTTCTAGAGAAAGGATGGTCCTTTTAAGGAAGCATCAATAGCTCACCTCGGCTGATATATATCTTTTTAATAATCACATTTTTAAATTATCTAGCAAAGTCAAAAACACTTGCTTTTATTCCTTATGCTGTTTTTATATAGATTTTATATAGACTATGTGGATGTTCCAGTTCAAGTATTCCTTTTAGTTTTATTATGATGGCATTCCAGCTGTTTCCACGTATATTTCTTTGTGAAAAGGATATGACATCCTTACATCTACCATCTCTCCAAACATGATTCAGGACTAACCATAACAGTTGAAAATCACAAGATATTAAAGGGGAATAACGGTACTGACATGTAGTAGATATGCCAGAATAAAAAGCTAAATTTATGTTTAATATTACACTATTAAATACCAGCATACAGTTTATTTTCATTTTTTGATTAAATTCCAGAGTCTGAACATAACCAATATACAAGAAAACTTAGAGAAGATTGCCTCTTAATATTTCATAGATGAAATAACTCCCACTTCTTGAGTAAATAAATAGGTTACAGCGCCACTGAGAGAACTTTCTCTCCACACAACAGAATTTGAAGGGACCTTGGAGGTCTTCTAGTCCAACCCACTAAAGCAGGAAACCTTATATCATTTCAGACAAATGGTTGTCCAATCTCTTCTTAAGCACTCACAACTTCTGGAAAAAATGAAAAAATAACTTCCGTCTAAAATTGCAGCCATCACTCTAATATTGTTATTTATTTCAAGCTGAGGGATCCAGAGAGTAGCTTTAAGGATAAACCTGTTATTTTAGTTAAATGTTATCTCTCGCATCATTCCAGAGGTTCTTCGGATGTAACTCCCATATCTTACCACTTGGATCTTGCTTGCTAAGGGGAATTGAAGCTCCATAATATCCGGAGGCCACACATGACATATTCCCAGGAGAAAAGATCGCAGGGTTGATGAGGAAGAAAGATAGTGAATGAGAGCATGGTCCCTTTAATGTATTAATTCTCCCGTAATATGATTCATTCATAAGAGTTACATTTGAAAGGCTAGTTGTTAATACTAATTTACTTTGGAGCAAAACTGACTTAAGTACAAAGGAAACGTGTCCACCATGAGGCTATAAGTTTGCGGTATGAACCCACAACTTCCACTGCAAGTTTTATTATATGCAAAGAAAGATTTATATGCACCAAGATTCCCATCGCCCTCACTATGTTTTGTTTGCTTTTCAGGAGACTGGGAGTTACTTTTACTAGTTCTGTGATAATATCAGACAGAAGTAAATGAGTTTTGGTCACCACGATGTAAAAAAGATGTTGAGACTCTAGAAAGAGTACAGAGAAGAGCAACAAAGATGATTAGGGGACTGGAGGCTAAAACATATAAGGAACGGTTGCGAGAATTGGGTATGTCTAGTTTAACGAAGAGAAGGACAAGGGGGGACATGATAGCAGTATTCCAATATCTCAGGGGCTGCCATAAAGAAGAGGGAATTAAGCTATTTTCCAAAGCACCTGAAGGCAGGACAAGAAGCAACGGGTGGAAACTAATCAAGGAGAGAAGCAACCTAGAACTAAGGAGAAACTTCCTGACAGTGAGAACAATTAATCAGTGGAACAGCTTGCCTCCAGAAGCAGTAAATGCTCCAACACTGGAAGTTTTTAAGAAGAGACTGGACAGCCATTTGTCCGAAATGGTTTAGGGTTTTCTGCCCGAGCAGGGGGTTGGACTAGATGACCTCCAAGGTCCCTTCCAACTTTACTATTACTATTACTTTGAGTTAATAGTAATTCAGCAGGCCTTGGATATTCAGGGATGTTCTGCATGTCATCAGTGCTACTTCGCTACTAGTTGAATGTCCCTTGGGGATATTGTTAAAATTTATTATGGACAAGGCAGGGACAATTAAAGCAGTGGTTGGATTCAAATATGTGAACAACCGGTTCTCTGCATGGATGCCACTTCCGGAAGTCCATTCTGGGCCTGGGCAATAAAAAATTAACTACCGTTTCTGCCAAACCGGTGTAAACCGGCTGAATCCCACCACTGAATTAAAGGCACTGAGTTGGCTTTTTTTGGCAGCTGCAGCACACGGCTGGCTCCTATTTAAGTAATTGTCCACTAGGACTCCGAGATCCCTCTCACAGTTACTACTATTGAGCAAGGTACCCCCTATATCAGTGATGGCGAACCTTTTAGAGACCCGAGTGCCCAAACTGCAACCCAAAATCCACTTATTTATCGCCGGGTGCCAGGTGGGCATGGCCCACTGGATGGGCATGGCTGTGCTGGTTATGGCAGATTGGGTGGGTGTGGCCAAGGTGGGCGTGATCACCTCAATGTTGCTCATGGGGACATCTGTGGGGTCCGGGCACAGTTGGGGGAGATCAAGGGGGTCTCTGGCAGGTGGGGCGGTGGGCAGGCGGCTCGTCCTGCGAGGAGAGACTAGGCAAGGCGAGACAGGGTGGGGGTGCCATTGTCACAGGGCAAGGTGAGGCAGGGCCTGGGCGGCTGATGCCTGACACCATCGGCCCTTGCACACAGAAGCCAGCGAGCTCATGGGTGCTGGGATGCATCCAGCCACGTGGGACCTCGGTGAGTTAGCGGGCGGCTGGTTGAAGAGGGACCGTTGCCATCTCTGGGGCATGGCGCGCATACCCACAGAGAGGGCTCTGAGTGCCGCCTCTGGCACACGTGCCATAGGTTCGCCACCACTGACCTATACTATACCTGTACATTATAGTACTACAGCCATATAACATGGTAAATATTTATTTATTTATTAAAATTTATAGACTGCCCCACTCCCGCAGGACTCCGGGTGGCTAACAATAAAAATACAACATAACTTAACAAAACAAACAATATAATAACATTCATCCAGGGGTCAGATTTTATAAACCCCAGGCCTGCCAGAAAAGCCAGGTCTTAAGCAGCTTGCGGAAAACCAACAGGGTGGGAGCGGTCCTAATCTCCGGGGGGAGCTGGTTCCAAGACGTGGGCGCCATCACAGAGAAAGCCCTCCCCCGCGGCCCCGCCAAATGGCACTGCTTGGCCGACGGGACCTGAAGGAGGCCCAGCCTGTGGGATCTAACCGGACGAAGGGAACTATGAGGTAGTAGGCGGTCTCGCAAATAGCCTGGCCCTGAGCCATATAGAGCTTTAAAGGTAATAACCAACACCTTGAATTGGACCCGGAGACCAATAGGCAAACAGTGCAGCTCACGGAGGATAGATGTAATGTGGGTGTACCGAGGAACACCCACTATCACTCGCACGGCTGCATTCTGTACCAACTGTAGTCTCCGAATACTTTTCAAGGGTAGCCCCATGTAGAGCGCGTTGCAGTAATCCAGGCATGAGGTGACAAGGGCATGAGTGACTGTAAGGAGATATACTCAGACATAAGTGAGAATTGGGCGTTCATCAGACTGATGGCACAAGGGGAAAAAACTGCCCCCTTGTCTAATTGTTTGGGCATGCACCGCCCTATAGCGGTGTCCGGAGGGGAGGAGTTGAAACAACGAACTGTTTCTTATATACTACAAAAGATAAAAAAAAGTCTGTCTCAATTATTCTTTCCTCTTGATGTTTATAGAAAAGAAAGCAGAGTGACCTTCTTCCACATCAATAGAAGTATCTAAATCTTCCCAGATTAACCCCGTGGTCAATTGGTTTAGAGAAAACTGCAAAAAACAGTGTCAGAGAACAAAAACAAAGACAATAGAGTCCAGAGAACGATGGTATTTTGCTGCCACAGACGTGTCTCGGTCACTTCATTAATTTTAATTCCTAAATTAAAATGAATGAATGAAGCTCTGACTGTATTGACCTGCTGTTTTGTTTTGTTTTTCAGATAGGAGCATTTAAATGCGGCTTTTAAGAGGAGGAAAATTGCAGAAATTACAGATTTCTGGTGCCTGCTTGTCCTAGAGAAAAGGGCATTGAAAAGGCCATAGACCATTTTTTTTCACTGTCACTTGTCTGCTTTTCATGTCCTCCATCTGGATTGCAGACTTAGTGACAGAGACACGTCTTTTG